TTGTCCTGTTCGCCTACCTCTACGGATGGACAGAGGGAGGGGCATGTTGGAGAGGCTGTGACAATCTAGACAACTATCTTTGCCCCTACACCTTCCCTTGGACTCACCATCTCCCTCACAGTGCTAGCCCAATGACTCTTTAAAGGCAAGCAAGTGACATAAGTGAATGAACAGGGAGAGTGACAAGAATGGTCTAAATGAGTTAAGGAATGACAGCTGGGGTGACCACAGGGAACAGTGGGGCCTGTGGTGAAGTAGACAGTCCGTGCCCATCTGCAACACTGTCACAATGTTGGAACACAAGCCTAAGACTGCCAGGTCTCCTGGATCTTTTGAGAGGAGCAGGGACTCAGGATTTTCTGTAAAACAGACTTAAGGTGCAGTGCTGGTGACTCATCTGGAGCGTCCTTAGAACAGTGAACTAAACACACTCTGTTGGTTTTGGCCTGTGGACTGCTAGAGAGCCATCACCCACTCTACATGTTCACGAATGCCCCATTGACTATTTAACCTGGTGTTAGGCACTGCTGGGTCCCCCTCCATAGTGAACACATAGGTGTCTGAGGACTTGAGTTCTTCTGAGGGAATCATACATCTTCTCTGATCCATGACTTTCCTAGTTGCCATAGCTATGAATGTGGCCCTGAAGTTAGGAAGATGTGAATTTGTGCCCTGGCTCAATTGTGTACTAGCTGTGTGTTTATGGGCATGTTGCTTAACCTCTCTGAGACCCAGCTTTTGTATGCGTAGGTGGAATAAGGGTAAAAAAAAAAAAGTCTCATTTCCCAGGATTGTCATGCCTTCCAAATGAGCTAATGGCTGGTGAGCCCTCTGTGAATCATCACCTGTGCAGGTGTGTCAGGATGACCCAGGGAACTGAGATGACAGGCCTGGGGCCATGCCTGGAATGGGCTGAGGCTTTGGTGTACTTCCGGCTGTGCAGACACTTCTGGAAGCTGAGTGATCAGATGTCCTGAGCAATAGATGGTAGGATTCTGCTGCAGAGTCATCAAGCACTGCCCACATCTGTTCCTGCTGGTTTCTTGTCAGTGTGGCCAGAGCAGCTTCCCTGTGAGATGCCAGGAGCAGGTGATGACCCAGAGAGTCAAAAGGCACAGAAGAGCCTATACACTTAGAAATTCTACCTTCATACCACAGCCATAATCTTGCTGAGAACAGTACTTCCCACAGGCCAACCTGCCCCCCAACATTCACATGCATTGGCTCATTTAACTATCTATACAAGCCTGGGCTCTGAATTCTATTTCCATCAGCTCTACCTTTCAGATGAGGTCCCCAAGTGCACACAGAAGAGCCAGGCTACAAAGCTAGTCTGACTGTGGAGTCTGCACTATTGGTATTAAATCCCTGAGGTACTGTTCCATCTGTTGAAAGATTTGGGGTGTTCTTTACCTGACAGACAGTTCCCATCTATGTCAGGGGGAACACGGGAGTTCCTTCCACATTACAAACCTCCCCTATGACCGGAGCTCCATCATGCTGAGGCCCAAGATCCTGGCTTATATGAACCTGCTTTCATCACCATACACTCTGCTCCCCCTCAACATGGACTGGGGTGTTAAGAGAAAGGCTGAGAGCCACACAGGGAGGACCAAGAAGGCTGTGTTGGAAGCAGAATGGGTAGGTGAGTTCTGATGGAGGTGTAGAATGGGGCCAACAGGTGTTCCTGAGTCACACTGGTGCCAAAGAGCTCGGTGGAGGGCCGGTGGTTATCCCTGTGCTGAGAGCCCTAAATACCCACATACCCATGCACGAGCACACATGCATTTCTGGCAGACACACACACACACATGAGTGCATGCAGACACACACTCACTGGAACTTACCTAGTTTCTCATAGAGACAGCAATCAATCTACACACACCCAAGCAGACACTCACACCTGGCCCCAACACCCCTGCTCATGAAGACACATATGTAAACAAAGGCACACACACTTACACACACACTTACATACACACTTATACACACACGGCGTGCACTGTCCCGCAGAACCCTCACAGACATGTGTGCCCATGCCAGGAAGGGCTGCACAGGGATTGTTCCAGGCTGGCCCACAGCTCTCCACCCTCAGATCCTTCCCGCTGTCCTTGGGGAAAGAATGCCACCCACTTGGCAGCAGATCAACTTCCTTTCCTGGCCTCTGCCATTCTGGGCGTGCCCTGTGGGATCTCCAAGTTTCTACTTGGAGTAGAGATGTACAGGTGGAGGAGGGGAGGAGGAAAAAGACACTGTTCTAAATTAAGAATCAAGTCCCAAAGAGAACAGAAGGCCTTCAGTGTCTGTGTCAGTTTGGAGTGTTAGAGAGGCAAGCAGGAAGATCAGGAATGTGGGACACAGTAGCAGAGTCACTAGGTTGTAAACCATGGTTGTTATAAAAGAAAGGACAAGCTTCACTAAACATTTGTTGTATTACCTTGGGCCAATCAGCTAGATTCTGAGCTGTAGTTTTGCTCATAGCATCGGGGTAAAGAACATGTATCTGGAGTCAGACCTGCTAGTATGAATTCTAGCTTTGCTTTACCATAGCTGTATGACCTTGGGCAAGGGAGTTAACCTCTATAAACCTTAATTTCAATACAATGAGATGGGGGTTTACAACATTGTCTAGCTCGTAGCATGGGTAGGGGCATCAAGTGACTTAATGTTCCCAAAGCTCTTACGATAGAGGGATAAATGATACATTTTGGCATTGTCACAGCACCCATGTAAGTTGCAGCTTCTGTTGCTGTTCTTGTGCAGTGAGGACAAAAATACCTGTTGCACAGGATTGTGGGAAGAGTGTTTGTGACAGGGCTTTGTGGACTACTGTGATAAGTGTACAAAAAGAATAAGGCACTGCTGGGTATCCATGATGTCAGCACTCAGAGGGATGAGGCAGGAGAATTCAGAGTTTGAAGACAGGCTGGGCTACACAGCAATTTTCATATGATACATAGTGTGACTGCCTCAAAAATCACACACACACACACACACACACACACACACACACACACACACACAAAGAGAGAGGAGAGGAAGAAAAGGGAAGAAAGGTACTGCTGATTGTATTCTGGGGCTGAGGAAGGCCTAGAGCTACAGATTGAGCATAAAGGTGCTCTGTGAAACATCTTAAAGCTTTTCCCGCCCTGCAATTGGTCGAGTTCCACCAGGCTTCCTCCTGCCTCCCAGCCTTTGCATTGGCTGTTTCCTCTGTTCTGAACACACTTCGGCAGACACTTGTAAGTACTTTCTTACATCCGTTCAAATATTGCTTCCTCTGTGAGGCCCATTCCACACTTGGTTACTTCTGCATCCCGCCTCTCCTCCCGCATCCCTCTTAGATTCCTCTTTGTACTTCCTAAACCACGCCCCACCTTTCCATACTAAATATAGTACTTGCAACTTGCTCTAGGATGGGGTATTTTTTGCATCCCCCTACCCCACTTCTAGATCCCCTCTGCCCCCATGTCAGCAATGGTTTTTGATGGACGAGTGCAATGTCAACAGCTCCATTGGGCGGTAGGCAAGTGTAGAGGTGGGGAAAGAGTGGGGGGGGGGACAGTTGGCCATTGGAAGTGTTTGTAGAGGATGTCTAAAGGTCAGTCCCAGAGTAGTGACAGATGGAGGGCGGAGCTGAGACACAGGCACACACAGGAGAACAGGAATGTGACTGTGGGCCTGTGAATGGACTGAGTCCCAGGTCTTGGCACATGCCAGGCCAAGTCCAGGCATGAGGACTGTTTGCCAAGGGTGTGTCTGCCAAGTTAATTGAACATAGGGTAAAGGAATCATTCAAAGTTAACACCCTAGGCTTGAGCCCAGGTCACAAAGAAATTAAATGGAAAGGGTCCCAGGTACTGGAAATCTAGACACAGCTCAGAGTGAACATTAGCTCTGACGTCACTTCCTGTGCACAGGCTTCTTGCTTCCTCTCTTAAACTAGATCTGTCTGAGTGGCCTTTCATGCCCTACTGAATTTGACCTTTCTGTTCTCTTCTTGTATACACTGCATCTCCAGATCCTGGAAAAGTGCATCTCCAGGCTTGGGCCAGCCACCAATCACCTCAGTTTCTCTCCTCCATGTCCTCCTCAACACACCCTTCCTCCTCTGAATCAGCCTCTTCTTTTCCCTCCCCTCTTGTGTATTTCTCCTCTCCCTGCAGCCTTTACTTTGCTTCCTACTCTGGTCAGCTGATGGCTTGGATTAACCCACAAGAACCGAGGACCTGCAGGCTAGGGATGGAATGGGAAGCCTAGCAACTTGTACAAGAATTCAGTCCCAATTCACCTGAAATTGAAGAATGCAGCATTTAAACTAAAAGCACTGGCAACGGGGCTGCAGATTGGTGGATCGTGAGCCCACATAGGTCACACACGGAGTGGCTCCCAGAGTGTCCCCTCCACACATCAGAGCTGTGACGCCAGAACCCATAAACACACCTACTTCACATTTGCAGCGTGTCTCTACCACAGCATTTCCACCTCAGTGGAGATAGCATCAGACCTCAGAAAACCAACACTCACTTCCCCACAAATATCACAGCACATACGACCCCCAAGCATAGTTACACCACGTGATGTCAACCCTCTGGAGCTCAGCACCTAGCATAAGTGCACTACACTCTGGGAGCACTCTAACAGTCCAACAAAAACCATGGTAACAAGCAGTTCCCGGCAGACACACAGCACACACATTGTCCCCTGCTTTGTCTTTCTCTGGTCATATGTATGCGCATGAGCACATTCACTCGTGATCATATACACAGAGAGACAGAGACAGAGAGACAGAGAGAGATTGCCTCACTTCATGCCTTGGCTGTTTGGCCATAAGTCCCCGGTTGCTCCAGAGAACAGCTGAGCTGGTAGGCGCCATTTCCTAGAAGGTTGTGGATTTGGCCTCAGCTGATCAAACACATGCTAGGAGGTCCACGTTTGAACTCCAGCTCCAGGGGTGGCTGGTATGTGGTCCCCACCAATGAACTGCAAGCAGCAGCTGACTGCTGTGGGACACCCCACAGGGAGGGGCTGATGTGACTGAGCTCAGTGGGTGGGGGCCAGGCAGGGCCCAAGCTGACTTAGTTGGGGTGAAGGGGCGTCCAGAGTTCAGGCGGCTGGTGGCTGGGAGGGAGAACACTGGAATGCCTCAGCAGCAGGGGCCTGAGATAGAAGCTGAGTCATGAGGTAAGAAGAGAGGCTGTGGTGGAAAGACAGGAAGTAGGGTGGAGGGAAAAGAAAGGCTGGGAGGAGCATCTTGATGCTCCTTCCAGGCTCTTCCCTCAGGAAACAACAGACAGGGATTGGAAAGAGAGGCAGGCAGAGGGAGCAAATCCTGGAGACAGGCATTGGACAAGGATTGGAAACAAGGTTTTGAAAGATGAGTACAAGACTAGGGGCTGAGGCTGAGTATTGAGCCTGGAGCCTCCTGGCTGTCCAGATGTGAGGGTGGACAATTAGAATTTGGTCAGGAGGAAGACCCACTGGTAAGAACTTAAGGTTTGCCATTGACAGGTGCTATGGTTTGAACTCCAAATACCACCCACAGGTTGATATTTTGAATGCTTGGTACAAGGTCGTGGCACTACTTTGAAGACAGTGGCCCCTCTAGGAGGTGGCGCCTGTCTGATGGAAACAGGTAACTGGGGGGTGAGTTCTTGTTTTCTGCTTTCTGGTTTGCTTGCTGCGAAGAGCTGCTGTCTCACGCTCCTGATGCTATAGATGGAAGCACATCTCCCACCATGCTTTCCCCACCATGAGCCAAAATAAAATCTTCCTTAAGTTGCTTCTTTCAGGTACTCTTCCCCAGCAGTGAGATCTATGGTTAGAACAGTTAGGAGAGCCAGGAAGGGGAACATGTGTGAGAAAAGCCTAGTGATGGAGCTGCCAGGCCTTAGGTGCAGGGTTCACATCCTGCAAACAAAGGGGACCGTATAGACTTGGGGCTGTCAAAATGCCCAAGTCAACAAAGACCCACCTCTGCTTTCAGGTTGCCAAGACAGGCATGGCCTATAGCTTCCTATGGCAGGCATGGCCGGATTGCCAAGTTCAGATACTGGTCAGCTCAACTTCTGACCTCAGTAGAACCAAAATGTGGGAAGATGAAAGGGAGGCCTCTGGCCTATAGAGGTTGCCATCTTGTTCAAGAAGCCCCCAGGCAGTTGACTCAAACCTCGTAATTGATGGATTTTCATGTGGCTTATGTGAAGGGACCGAAATGAACTCCCCCTGTCCCACTCTACCCAAGCTGAACATGGGCAAACAGCTGGACTTTGGTTTTATGTCCCCAGTTATCGCCGAGCCTCAGACTATTTTGGCTTTGATATACCCCAGGAGGCAGACCCTATGAATTGGGAGCTAACTCAGTCTCCAAGGACCAAGCGTCTTCTTCCTCTCCCACTCCCTCCTGGATTGAGTTAATACCACCCACACATAGCCCGCACTTTGTACTTCCTAAAGCATGAGCTCATTTGAGTCCCACAACAATCCTGCAAGGCTAGCAGAGCAGGGATTATTATCCCTACTTCCCAGTGAGGAAACTGAGGCTCAGAGAGGTAAAACAATTACCACAGTCACACCAACAGCTCCAAACTGACTCCAGATTCAGTACATTGATTAGAAGGGTTGCCACGGCCATTCGATGCAAAAATGTGGATTTCCCAGGTCTCAGATGACATAATAAAGATGGAAGGTTTGTACCTACGGAGAAGTCCAGTAAGGAGATTAGGCCGTGTCAACTATGTTCTGTAGTAGGGATTTGAGTAAAAGATGGACAGGAAAGAGACAGTGCTGTAGTTACGATTGGGGGAAGAGATGGACACTTATTTAATATGTACTAGGTGCCATGCACTAGAATTGATACCTGATATGTGTTGTTTCACTTAATCCTTACAAAACTCAGTGTGGTAGTCCCTCGTTGTACAAAAGTGGAAACAGAGGTTCAGAAAATGTTATCACTAACCCTGCATTCACACACTGAGTAAGAGAGTTCAAAACTGGCCCTGTTTCTAATTCCAATACCCATGTTATTTGAGGAAGATTCTCTAGCCGCTTCCCTTGCCATGTGACCAGCTGCCTTGGTACCTATTCAACTGCTAAAGGGAACATGTCCCTGACATAGCTTTAATGAGTGGCCTTTGGAAATCATTGAATTGAGACGAGGGTAGGGAAAGGGAACTGTGGGGGAGGTAAGAGCTCTGATAATTTGTGGGAGAAACCAGATTCCTCTGGGGAATTGAGAGCTGTGTCCCCTCCCTCTTTCCTTCCTCTCCCCTCCTTCTTACCACAGCCTGCCTGGGGGATGGAAGAAATGTCCCTGAAGGGCGGCCTTTTGGCAGATGCAGGACTAGAGGCAGCGCCACAGAGGCCCACATCCTGGGTCACCTCCCACTCAGAACCACAAGGAATCTAGACAAGAAACCCAGCATTTCTCTGAAGTACCACATTGCTTGTCTCTTTCCTGTACTGGAGTTTCTTCCCATGCTCTTGCCTCTGTCTGAGCATAGAACCCCAGCTTCAGGACATATTCACACCCTGTGTGTAGTACACCAAAGAATCAAGCTCTCAAAAGTATTCTTCATCATCTTTTGAGTTGAGCCTGCTCAAAGGGCAGACCTTGTGTAGCCTGCCCACCTAGATGTTCAGAGGTTTCCTTCTTAAGCCAAGTCCCTAATACTTTTCTTCCATCCAAGCACTAACCAGGCCCGACACTGCTTAGCTTAGGTGAGACTGGGTGTGTTTGGGGTGGCATGGTCACAGACTACCTAATCCTTTTCCATTTGAGCTTTAGTGATAGTAGAAGTAAGACTGTCCCAACAACAAACGAGACTGGAATACCCAGCTTTTCTTACAAAAATTAACAGTTTTGCTGCCTTTTTTGGTTAGTCTATTTTTGAATTGCACCACAATAATGACAGTGGAAAGCAGAGTGACACTAAAATCAAGGGTATTATAAAAAATGTATTTCAGTAAAAGTGAGGTAGCAGATACTAAACAGTCTCAGTGAGTATACTCATTAGATTCTTGACTATTATAACTTGCAAATAAATAAATAAGCCCACAAACGCCAAAATTAACCAGAACCCAAAGTCTATACAACTTAATTAACTTATAAACAATGTAAAATTTAATTTGAAGCTTCTCAGTGTTCATTTCAGTGCCAGCCCATCACCATTTTTACTGCCATCCCTATCAATGTCACAATTATCACCATCAACTCCACTCCCATTAGCACACAATGCCTTCATCATTATTACCCTTGGCATCATTAACGCCTTCATCAATCACCACCATTACGACTTCTCTCACAAGTACCACACCTCCCATGACTACCACCACTGTATCTGCTGTTTTATTCCCATCTTATCGTCATTGCTGTTGTTGTCAACCCAATTATCATTTCAGCTTCCATTTCTTCCTCAATGCCATTTCTACTTCTGAGATAACCTGGCATCCTCATCATCGCCACCTCTGCTAGCATTACCAAATTCACTAATATCACTGCTTTCAGCACACCATTATGCTAGACCTTTAGTCACTGAGACAAAATACCTGAGGAATCCACTTAAAGGAGGAAGGGGTTTTTTGTGAGGAGGTCAGAGCTTCAGGAGAGCCAGTCTATCAAGATGAGGAAGGCATGGGAGAGCAGAGCTCCTCACATTATGGTGACAGGTAAGCCTGAACTAAAGATCTCTCCTTCCCCATTTTATTTCTTTGGGGCTCCCAGCTTAGGAGATGGCACCACCCACATTCATGATCACTCTTCTCCCTTCAGCGTGTCCTGTTAACATGCTCTCACAGACAAACCTACACACGTGCCCTAGCAGTCTCCTAGTCACTTCTCAATCCAATCAAGTCAACAACCTTAACCATCGTAACCTCCATCATCACCCTCATTGTTACCTTCGTTGTTACCACCATTATCAATACTATTGTTATTGACACCTTCCTGATCATGTTATTATTAGTGAAAGGTATACTCATGGTCCCTGTACTCATGGGACCACAGACAATGGCACATTTTCAGGCAGAAAATAAAGAGGCCGAGGGCAAAGACCCAAAGGGTAAGAATGTAGAGGTCCTCTAGTGTCTCTTTTAACTGTGGCCAAAGAAGGCATCCCAGTGAGGAGCATAGGCCTGTTCTGCAGAGTGTGAGGATGTGGGGTAGGACTCCAGGCCTACAGCAGCAGGACAGCCAGCTTCTAAGCCACAGGGTACATGTGCTTTGCAGACCCCCTTCAGTTCAGCTGCAGAAGTAACTTGGGCCATATCATGCCTAGATGGACTCTGAGAAGCTGAAGCCAAAGAGGAGGGTGTCCAAGCAGCTAGAACTGCCTCCTCAGCTCAGTCCCCCCACATTCCTAGGTGCCCCTAAATCACCCAGGGGTTCTGCTCCCACTCCATGTACTCAACCCTAGGACTGGCTCTGTGAGGCTGAAAGGATGCCACTGTGTCGGGAGAGGGTAACTTTCTTCCGACTAGTGCCTGCCTCTTACCTTGATCCCTTTCCGAGGTCCCTGTTCTCTCATCTTCTCAGACCTCTCCCTCTTGCAGCCTCTACTCTCAGAAACCCTGCAGACCTTTTCTTGTCAGGCTCCTCTCCAGCTTGCTTTCCAGGTGACAGGCAGGATGACCCCGAGTGAGCCTTTCTTTTTTTAAAAACGTTTATTTATTGTGTATACAGTATTCTGTCTGCATGTAGGCTTGCAGGCCAGAAGAGAGCACCAGATCTCATTACAGAGGGCTGTGAGCCACCATGTAGTTGCTGGGAATTGAACTCAGGACCTTGGGAAGAGCAGCCAGTGCTCTTAACCTCTGAGCTATCTCTCTAGCCCCCAAGATCTGAACATGGCAATCCTGCCGTGCCTGCCATACTTATGTTGCACTGCTGGGGATTGGTAGTCTCCAGATAAATTGCCCTTTGCCCACTTCATCTCATTAATTGTGCTGCTAAAGGAAGAGGCCCGTAGTGCCAGTAGGTGTCCCTATCCTTGTAGCTTCTGTCAGCTCTCCATGCAGGCATGTAGCCTCAGTGCCCTGCTTTAAGAACTTCCCTTCCAGGTGGTCATCCTTATTGTTTCTCAACCTTTCCAGCCTCTCCAACAGATTTTCCTTTCTATGGTATCCAAACTAACAGGCACACACACATGCTCATGCTTGTGCTAGCCAC